GTGAGCATGATATGACACAAAAGATGTAAAATAGGATTTCTTTTTTAATTAAAGGGGCGTTATGAACCTGGAATAGATATGAATTAGCCAAAATTAAAACAATACTGAGAAGAAAATGACTTTTACAGGAGGAAGAGCCAGATAGATCAGGCTGTTAGCTGTGGTCATTGTTTAACTCTGGCTTTGAATATCAGCTGTATGCCCAGCCCTGCACTATGAGGTTTTTGTTGTTCTGTTTACACAGACGAATGGACAAATAGTCCCAGATTGTTCTCTTAGTTATTTGATCTCAGTGAAAAACCGTGTTTAGAGAGTTACATATTCCACATATTAGTTTGGGCTAAGAAGACTATGCTTTGGCTTCCTGATAGGAGTGATGAGGGATGAAGGACATTCTTAGGCACTAGTTCATTCTCCACTGTAGGCCATTGGAGCTGACCACAAAGTAACATGGAGACAGTATTAACTTCAGGGAGTGTTAAAAGCATCCAATGAACACATTTCCTCCTTCATTTGGCTTTCCAAATGCTGGTGCTACTTCTGTTTTCTTTATCTACAACGAGTCCCAGAAGGGACTACATTGAGTGTGGATAAAAGGTGCATTTTGATATTAATAAGTTTGAAATAAGACATGATATTTAAAAATGAATAGTAGTCTTGGGTTAAAAATAATCAGGTAACATTTCAATGAAAGATATTTCAGCTGTTTTAATAAAATATGATAATCAAAAGATAATGAAATTTAGAAATAAGACAGGATAAGATTATGGATTGTGTGGGAATTATACTCAGGATGAACTTAATTCTGTGCACATTTAGACATCTTAAATGTGTTTGTCCATGAAAATGATGCGAATAAATTTGTATTTTGCATCAGTGATGTGGAGGCAGTAGGGATGTGTAGAGTGGGTAGAGCTAACATCCGGGAAATTTACAAAGAAGCTGTTACACTTCATAAAGTGAGATTGATGAGGGCAAACAAGTGTGAATGAACATTAAGTGAAGGCTAGAAGATGTGTAATTAAAACAAAGATTTACAAAAAAAAAAAATAAAACAAAGATTTATTTATTTGAGGATTAAATAAATGAGGATTTATTCTATGGAGTGGTGAGGAGGAAGAAAAAAAATCAATCATGATGTGTTGGAAGAGTGGGTGCACTTTAGTTCCACTGTCAGACGTGAAATCAGGAAGGATGTGAATATAGCATGCGGAAAGATGAATTGAGACATTGGTGAGATATTTGTGAAACACTTGTTAAGCTGTTGGGAAAAGCATCTGGAGCTTTGAAGGGAAGTCTAGGAGATAAAGGGGCTTCCCCAGTGGCTCAGTGGTAAAGAATCCACCTGCAATGCAGGAGACTTAGGTTCGATCCCTGGGTCAGGAAGATCTTCTGGAGGAGGGCATGAAGCCTACTCCAGTATTCTTGCCTGGGAAATCCCATGGACAGAGGAGCCTGGTGGGCTCCAGTCCATGATATAGACATGGTAGTCCATGAGAAAGAGTTGGACACAACTGAAGTGACTGAGCACACATGCTAGGAGATAAATGTAGAATTGAGGGTGAGCTACATGTGAAAGTGAAAGTGTTAGTCACTCAGCTGACTCTTTGCAAGTCCATGGATTGCAGCTCCCTAGGCTCCTCTGTCCATGAGATTCTCTAGGCAAGAATACTGGAGTGGGTTGCATGCCCTCTTCCAGAGGATCTCCTTAACACAGGGATCAGACTGGGTCTCCTGCATTGTAGGCAAATTCTTTAATGTATGAGTAACCAGGGAAGCCCTAGAAATCACAAACTCTTCCAGAAAGGAAAACTAGAAAGAAGAGTATAACTTGTAAGCAAGAAACTTGAAATGATCTTATAGTACTGGGGTGGGAGAATTTAAGAAATTTACCCAAGAATGCAGATGAGAAATAATAGATTGGAGGAAAATCAGATCAGAAGTGAATGACAGAGTTAAAAGTCAGAAAGAGGAATTAGTTAACATTCTTCAAAGTTAGCAATGAAAAAGAAATGAAAGTCTCTGGGTTTGATGCCTAGAAGGCCATGAGTGTTTCCATGAATTAATAAAGGTGAAAACTCCATTTCCATGTCTTAAAGGATGAATGTTTTGAGGAAATGAACCCAGCAAGTGGACACCAGTCATTTGAGAACTCGGTGTGAAAGCTGGATGTGAAAGAAAGAATTAAAATGGAAAATAGCAAAGATTCCTCTCTCCATGTTGAGAGATTTGTTTATTTTTTATAATGAAGGAAAAGGAGTTTATCAGGAGTAGGAAAGACCCCAGAATGATCAAAAGAGAGGCTGAATAACGGAATAAGATCATGCGAGAGAGAAAGCCTGGAATCAAAGCTTATATCAATTATCATAAACAAATAGTGGGTATTTGTCCTATTTGGTCATTAGTATAGCAATGCTGGATCTTCAGCTCCTTAATTTCACCAGTGATCCTTTCAGCAGGCCAATATTACCCACATTGCATAGATGAGAATTATGAGACTCAGAGAGGGCAAGTGGCTTGCTTCAGGAAGTGGAAGAGAATAAATTCAAAGCAGAAACATTTGGGCTCTGAAGCTCACACCTGCTCTGCGAGGTGACCCAGTCCCTCATTTGTGTTTGTAAGGAGACACAAGCTGTAGTAGAGAGATGTGCTGGATGAGTAAGAGGAACACAGCGAGTCACCGGCTGGCATGTCCTCCATGCGGCTTGCACAGACACCAGTGGGGAAATTGACATGAGGATGACCTGTTTTGTGTAAATTCCTCTAGAGATGGCTTAGGTCTTTAACACAGGTAAGTGTAGTATTTGTCTTGAAACACCAGCATCTAGCCAAGATGAGACTTTATAGATATTTTCCAAATTAGTAGAAAGAGAAATGTCTACTTTCTACTGAAGATCTGCTATAGAGTCAACAGCAGTTAACAATTTTTTTTAAGTTAAGTATTTTTTGCAGTTTCAGAACTATATTTGACAGCCTTTTTTGAGGCAACTAGATGTTTCTTTTCCACCTGACCATGTTGGAGAGAAGCAAAGTGAGGGGTGGTGTGGGAAGTATCTTGATAGAGCAGTGGAGGACATCAGTTGTGTGGATATTATGGAAAATGTATGTATCTGAATTGTGAAACATACGGACATTTCTAGACTTACGTGCTTTGTTTTGTCCTTTAACCGCTTTTCAGTCTCAAAACAAATCAGTTATTTTACCAGCAAAATGGGTTTATTTGGGAATGGCAAGAGGAATTGGAATTCAGGGCATACAAGCTGTAGCAGAAGCCATTGTCACGTACCACAAAGGAGAGGAAGCGTATAGAGAAAAAGGAGGCTGTTGGGAAGCATTGTTTTGAACCAAAGTCTTTGGAGAGAATTGAGAACTCAGGGTGATGAGAGTGTCTCCCTGGCTGAGTTGCTGGGGTAGTCAGTTTCTAATAGGAGATGCGATGTATATATTGTATATCTTTTCCTGTTGAGGTTTGCAATGGATGTCTTTCCTGTTGATAATTCTTCTCTGGGGCCTAGCAATTGATGATTCATCCTCTAATTTATGTTGCTGGTCTGCTTGAGACTTCCTATCTGACCTTCCTTAGTTAGGGTTTTCCTTTATTAATTTTCACACAGGTAAGAGAGTTGAAGCTTAGACAGTATTCAGTTTTATGCACAGAGACACTACCCCAACCCCTAAGGGTTTGCCAATAACACAAGCAGCTCTGTTTCTGCCCTCAAGCCCACTTACTGCCTTATTTCCTGCTTTATTTTGTGCACTGAAAGAAAAGGAAAGTTAGTGAATTGGGCAGGCATGGAGAAATAATATGAATGAATCAGTCCTATAAAAAATATTCTTAAAAATGTAAATGCCTTCTTATTAATATTCAAACTTGATATTATAGCATATAATTCTACTGAAAAAAGCACTTTCTGGATGAAGGAAAGCAAAAAGTCAACCTCATTCCTCTGTACATTTACCCAAACTTATACCTCCTTCTCTGCCTTCAACAACGAAGAAAAGTTGCTAGGCATTTGCTTCCCTTTCTTCTTGTAAATAAAAAGTCAATCATCCATATTCTCATTTCCTTAATTTTAAGGGTAGATCTTTAACTGCTGCAAGTTGAAAGGAGAAAAATGTAAAGAACAAGAAATTACAATCATCTATCCCATTGTATCTCAATGAGGCTAAACAGAGAAGCCTGTCAGGAAGACAAGTGGACCCCAGATTCTCAAAGGGACAAACCATTCCTAAGCCCTCAGTGTTATTAAAAGTTGCCTCTAGTATTATTTGTGTCTGAATTGTTGGGGGGGGGGGTGCTGTGGGTTCATGAGAAAATCCTACTTGCTACTTTATTTACCCCAAGGCAGAGATCATGCTACAACTAATACACTACTGTCATACTACTACAAGTAGCAAATGTACTGGTGCGTCTCATATACAAAATTTGCCCCTGAACCAAAAATCACAGAGCAAATAAAATGGTAAATAAAATCAGTTTTCAAACCTAGATTCTCTGATTTCAGATATTTTCACAAGCACCTGCTTCTTTTCAACATTTCCTTTTATAATAGAAATGTATAAATCTATTATTATATCATGATGGGGCTAGTTGACATATTTAAGGTAAGTTTTGTAACTTTCCCACCAGCCTTTCTTCACTATTTAAAAATTCACTTGTTATTGTCACCTACCGTCCTTTCCATGTCCTCGAATCTGAGGTAATCTGGCAAAGATGTGGAGCTCCTGAAATCATACTGCACCATCTTCAGGCCTTAACTGGGTCTCCCGGGGACCACAGTAAGTCCTTGTGAAGGCACTGGCCTGTTCTCTGGTGCAGAATGGGTACCACATACATCAGGAGGAAGCCTGTCATCTTGGCCCATGGGCGATCTGAAACATCTGACCAGGAGTGGCCAAATTCATACAGTATGTATTGATAAAAGTGATTTTTAGGGTTCTGTAATTCAATGGACTCTGTTATTTCTGACTCTCTGCAGACTAATCCTTACATTTTTTTAATGGGAGCAGATAACCAGACTTGGGCGAGAGAATTCGTTCTCCTCGGCCTGTCCAGTGACTGGGACACTCAGGTGGCCCTCTTCGCGCTGTTCTCAGTCGCTTACCTGCTGACCCTGCTGGGGAACGTCCTCATCGTCCTTCTGATCAGACTGGACGGCCGACTCCACACTCCCATGTATTTCTTCCTCAGCAACCTCTCCCTCGTGGATGTCTCCTACGCCACGAGCATCGTTCCTCAGATGCTGGCGCACTTCCTCGCGGAACATAAAGGGATCCCCTACGTGAGCTGTGCGGCTCAGTTATTCTTCTCCCTGGGCCTGGGGGGGACTGAGTTCGTCCTCCTGGCCGTGATGGCCTATGACCGCTATGTGGCTGTGTGCGACCCCCTGAGATACCCGGTCATCATGCACGGAGGGCTCTGTGCTAGGCTGGCCGTCACATCCTGGCTCAGTGGCTCTGTCAACTCGCTCGTGCAGACCACCATCACCTTTCAGTTGCCCATGTGCACGAACAAGTATATTGATCACATATCCTGTGAACTCTTAGCTGTGGTCAGGCTGGCCTGCGTGGACACCTCCTCCAATGAGGTGGCCATCATGGTTTCTAGTATTGTGTTGCTGATGACACCTTTCTGCCTGGTTCTCTTGTCCTACATCAGGATCATCTCCACCATCCTAAAGATCCAGTCCATAGAGGGGAGAAAGAAGGCCTTCCATACTTGTGCCTCTCACCTGACAGTGGTTGTCCTGTGCTATGGTATGGCCATTTTCACTTACATCCAGCCCAATTCCAGTCTTTCTGTGCTTCAGGAGAAGTTGATCTCTCTCTTCTATGCCATTTTGACACCCATGCTGAACCCAATGATTTACAGTCTAAGGAATAAGGAAGTGAAGGGGGCCTGGCAGAAACTACTCGGGCAATTATCTGGATTAACATTGAAACTAGCAGCTTGATGAATAATTAGCATCACTTGGAGAAGAGAGCTTTGCCTGTGAATTCTGCCACTTAATTCTGCTATGAAGCATTAACTGAATTACCCTGGCAACCAGCAATGCAGTGACAAAATGTGTACTGGTTATGCTGGGTAGGCGGCTGAGGAGTTAGGTTAAGGTATTTAGTGCAGTAACATTTTATGTCACAGCAGGATGTTCAGAGAAATTAAGCACTACAGCACTAGAACTTCTACTACTTGCTTGGTCTCCATTCATGTGAACTGATAATATTTTTTAAAATGTCAATTGCTATCTTGATTGGTCATATTGTTTGTGATCATGAGTCTATTCATAAATCTTACTTTGGACCAGTGGTTCTTACACTGTACAAGGTTATTTTGTTTCCATTGAGAACAAAACCATTTTCACATTTTAGACTTATTTAAAATAATGTATGTGCCAACAATTGTGTGAGTGATTGATTGTTCCTAGGAGAGTATTGCTTTCAAGACTGGTTAAAATGTTTCATGCTGGACTTATGACATACGGACATAAAACCTTTGAGAGCTGGAGGTACTCAATGGAAGGATCAACTAAAGGTCTTGTTTCACACTGATATAAATGAAGGTGTTTCTACACCAAGCTATTACTGTTCAAGGAAAGCTATGTTTCAAGCTCTTTTTTGATACTGTTCAAACAGTTTGAGAGAAATTTTACCGTGTATATATGGGGTACCATTTAAAAGTTTAACCAATCCAACTTCTGAAACATCTATAATTTCTTTTTTTGAGATTTTAGAAACAAATAAGTACATAAAATATGAAGTAATATACATAAAACACAAAATGTAGTTAACCTAAAGAAGGAGAGATTCCTGAGGCAAAGGCAGTGAAAGGCAAGACAATGTTAATACGTATTTTGCGAATCAAGATAGTTGAGTCAGCTGTGCCCACGTCAGCCTCCAATCTCCTTATAAACCCCTTCTCCCATCCCCCCTCCTCACACACTGCAGGGCCCTGGTTGTTCTTGGTAAATTCGCAGAGCTTAGAATAGTCTGGAATAGACCTCACCTCTGAGAGACAGCCTAAATAAGGAAAAAGAGGCAGAAGAAGTAATTGTACATGGGATAATGAAGAGGAAATGGGGAGAAAGATTAAGATGGCAGCTCATGGCCTCACCCCCTTGAAGACATCTCAAAGTCCTTTCTTCCACTGTCTTTTCTTCATGTCAGTTGATGGGCGGTTTTCCCATTTATAAACACACTGTGCCACAGTCTCTGTGTTTAAACAAACTGAAGTTTCATATAATCCAAAATCCATCTGATGTATTAAATTTACCTAAAACTATCAATGCTAAAATTTGCAATGTTGTTCAGTCACTAAGTCATGTCCAACTCTCTGTGACTCCATGTTCTACAGCACGCCAGGCTTCCCTGTCCTTTACTCTCTCCCTGAGTTTTCCCAAATTCATGTCCATTGAGTCAGTGATGCCATCCAACCACCTCATCCTGTGTGCCCCCTTCTCCTCCTGCCATCAGTCTTTACCAGTATCAGTGTCCTTTCCAGTGAGTTGGCTCTTGGTATCAGGTAGTCAAAGTATTGGAGCTTCATCTTCAGCATCAGTCCTTCCAATGAATATTCAGGGTTAATTTCCTTTAGGATTGACTAGTTTGATCTCCTTGCTGTCCAAGGGACTTTCAAAAGTCTTCTCTAGCACCACAGTTCAGAAGCATCAATTCTTCAGTGCTCAGCCTTCTTTATGGTTCAACTGTCACATCCATACCTGATTACTGGAAAAGCCATAGATTTGACTATATGAACCTTTGTCAGCAAAGTGATGTCTCTGCTTTTAATATGCTGTCTAGGTTTGTCATAGCTTTACTTCCAAGGAGCAAGTGTCTTTTAATTTCATCTGACTTTTTATAACCCCATGGAGTATAGCCCACCAGACCCCTATGTCCATGGAATTCTCCAGGCAAGAACACTGGATTGGGTAGCTAATCCCTTCTCCAGGAGATCTTTCTGACCCAGGGGTTGAACCCAGTTTTCCTACATTGCAGGTGTATTCTTTACTGTCTGAGCCCCCAGGGAAACACAAATTTTGGAATACAATCAGGGATTCCTGAAAGTGTCATTGCTACCAGGCTTGTTGTTAATTGACAAATACCAGTGGAGAGTCTACTATGTGTCAGTAGAATGGTTCTTGAGGACAACAGTTATTACGGAACAATTCTGACAGTGATATGGCCACAGAGTTGGGATGACAGATAATGAAACAGATAAAATGCACTGAGTGTCACGGAAAGCATAAGGCTTCAGGGGTGATTATAGAAATCTTCTATATGACAGGATCAGAAAACATCTAGATGGAGACCAGAAAAGTGAGAACAAGTTATCTAAATGACGAACAACCTGAACAAAGGGGCAACTTGTAAAAAGTGCTGAGTTGGAAGAGATCATGAGGATTCAAAACTATCCTGGAGCCTGGCTTACAGGGCAGAGCAGACTGAGAAAGTAGTGAGGGTGAAGCAGGGAGGAGTCAGGTCTTGGAGGCTGTGAAATGCTAAACTACTTTGAACTTTATCCTGACAGCAACAGGGAGCTGTAAAGATTTTGGAGTAGGAGCCTGGGTTGATAAAATTTACATTTTTGAATTATCACTGTGGCAAATGAGTCAAAGGAAGAAAAGATTAGAGACAAGGAGACCAGGTAGGGGGGTTGCCCCAGTGATACTACTGGGACATTAGGGGACTCTGAAGTTAAGATATGCAGAGATCTTGCACATGTACAAGCTGGATTTAGAAAAGGCAGAGGAACCAGAGAGCAAACTGCCAACATTTGTTGGATCATAAACAAAGTCAAGGAATTCCACAAAAACATTGCTTCATTGACTTCATGAAAGCCTTTGACTGTGTGGATCATAACAAACTGGAAAATTCTAAAGAGATGGGAATACCAGACCACCTTACCTGCCTCCTGAGAAACCTGTATGCAGGTTAAGAAGCAACAGTTAAAACTGGCCATGGAACAACTGACTGTTTTATAATAGGGAAAAGAGTATGACAAGGCTGCATATTGTCACCCTTTTACTTAAATTTTAAGCAGAGTACATCATGTGAAATGCCTGGCTGGATGAATCACAAGCTGGAATCAAGATTGCTGGGAGAAATATCAACAAGCTCAGATATGCATATACTGCTCTGATGGCAGAAAATGAAGAGAAACTAAAGAGCCTCTTGATGAGGGTGAAAGAGGAGAGTGAAAAAGCTGGATTGAAACCCAACATTAGAAAAACTAAGATCACGGCATCCTGTTACATCACTTCATGGCAAATAGATGGGGAAAAAGTGGAAACAGTGGCAGATTTTCTTTTCTTTGGCTCCAAAATCACTGTGGATGTGACTAAAGCCATGAAATTAAAAGACAATTGCTCCTCGGAAGGAAACTGATGACAAACCTAGACAGTGTATTAAAAAGCAAAGCCATCATTTTGCCAACAAAGGTTCATATAGTCAAAGCTATTTTTCCAGTAGTCATATAGGGATATGAAAGTTGGACTAAAAAGAAGGCTGAGCACTGAAGAATAGATACTTTCAAATTATAGTGCTGGAAAAGACAAGCAAAAGTCCCTTGGACTTAAGGAGATCAAGCCAGCCAATCCTAAAGGAAATCAGTCCTAAATATTCATTGGAAGGACTGATGCTGAAGCTGAAGCTCCAGTGCTTTGGATACCTGATGCGAAGAGCTGACTCATTGGAAAAGACCCTGATGCTGAAAAAGACTGAAAGCAGGAGAAGAGGACAACAGAGGATGAGATGGTTAGGTAACACTACTGACTCACATGAATGAATTTGAACAGACATTAATTTGAGCAAACTCTGGGAGATAGTGAAGGATAGGGGAGCTGGATGGGCTACAGTCTATGGGGTTGCAAAAGAGTCAGACATGACTTAGCAACTAACAACAAAAACAACAAGGGATATAGAAGAGTTATAACATGGATGACTGATGGGTTGCATAGATGGTTGGATGAGCATATGAGCAAATGAGTGAGTATTGAGTTGGTTAGAGACAGGTAAATGAGTAGATGTGTTAATGATGCTAAGAATTTTATTTGGGAGATAAATGAATGAATAATTCACTTAAAAGGTGTGCAATGCATACATAATATATTAGAGAATGTTAATGTGATTATATTCTGTCAAAATTACATTGAATCTCTTCATAAAAATTAAAGATTTGAAGAGCTATAGAAGTTCATACTTCTGTGTGGAGGATTTCAATTGACCTTTTTTCTTTCACCCTTTCCCCCCTATAAATCATAAGGTTTTCTTCACTCCCTTTCTGGGACCTTATTTTGAGCCTTAAATCTTTCTGCATGGTATTACTCTTTTTAAAAGTTGAAAGCCAATGTAAAATATGTACTTGGCTGTCCCTCTGTTCTTGCATTGCTCACAGGATTCCATTAGATTCTTGGCACATATCTCAGGGGAGCAAAGCACAACTCTATTTTCAGAAGGAGAGATGAAGGCATTGTGGAGCCAAGAAAATAGCTTTTTTAATTTTGCCTAGGTTTGGATGCAGGTCTAGTCATTGTTCATTAGGAAAGGTATAAGGTATATTGGGAGCTAAATATCATGTTTTGGCTGTACAAGATTATCCTATCCTCAAAAAGCTGCCATCTCCAGCTTCTTAGAATGACCTAAGGCTTCAGTAGTTTGTTGTAGTCTGAGGAGGATGGAGTACCATCTTCCACAGAGAGAAGAAGTGTGGCATCAAGGCCCTGCCCTTGAGGGTTGGGAGTGGAGGCAACAATTAACACTAATTCTTACAGGTCCCAAAGGCACTCTGCCTACATTTCTAATTCAGCCACTGTTACACCTCATTAGGTTTGTGTCTGAGCCAATTCTGGGGCATCTGTGAGCTCCTTCTCATCAATTTCCCTCACAAACTAAACTAGTCCCAGCTGATCTTAGCCTAGAAATCAAGAAACTTAATTTCTATGGTCCACTTTTTTGAGGA